TAAGACGTAAAGGGTGCTGAGGGACATACCATCACTGCAGCAAAGGAAGGAGTGCTGTCACAGCAGGGCAGCTTAGAGGATCAGGTGAGTATAACTTTGTTATTTCTGACTGTAGGCAAAAACGAGCAGCGCGGGCGTAGTCCCACTGTGTCTGGAACCGTATCTGAACCCGGGGCCTCTTCTGTGGCTGGCGGTGGTTCTACCTGCTGAGCCACCTTGAAACCTTGGATAGCTCCTTGCCTGATCTCCTGTGTATGCCTCAGTTTTACCTAGTTTATGCTGAACTCTGAACTCCTTGCTCCTCCCTTCAACCTCCTATTTAAGCCATGCCTCTGCACTTCCTGTTTGCAAGATTATTGTGCTCCTGCCAATATCTTGCTTCCTTGCTCCTCCTGTGATACAATCCTCTCATACTGCTACCCGTGTACTGACCTTTGGCTGCTGATTCACCGACTACTCTCTTATCGTCTTCTGCTTCATACCCGATACCTTTTGCTGCTGACCTCGGCTTGTTCACTGACTACGCTTCTGCCTGCTCCTATACTGCTACCGTCTGCTTGTGTACCGAACTCTGCCTGTTATACCATGAATTTGCCTGCTATTTCAGCTACTGGACTCTGAGCCTGATCCCAGATCGTGACACACTGCAAGGGTTCATAAAATGTATTGTTCTTTAAGTATTCAGAAGATCAGTCAGACTCAGAACGTGATAAAGCAAAATGGCGCAACAAAAAACAAGATGTTCCTGAAACACGGGGGCCCAGATATGAAGATCTACAAGAGTCCAAAAACTTTTCAAAACATAATTGGTTCTAAAAGGTCAACACAGAACCTCCGACGCATTTCACGGACTCAAAGACCACCCCATTCTTCAAAGTAACTAAATTAGATATAAACACAGTCAAATTCCTAAAATAGCTCAATTGAAATTAGGATGTACCAACTGGTATCTAAAAATAATAAATCTATAAAATCATCAGGATACAACTAGAATCATAAAAACTGATGTAAATAATGTATGACATCAAACTAAGCATAAGAGAATACATTAAAAATGGAGACCATCAAGTTGTAATCAATAATACAGATAATGAAAATGCATTAAAAAAATAATAATAATTTAATAAATAATACATATTTATTAAAATATACTAATCAAATCATGATGATA